CTCCAAACACGGGTTCGACCATCAGTTACGTGGAGTAAAAATCTACTCTCGTCTGACCAGTGTATTCGTCGCCAGGTTTGAAGGTCCCAGTTCTGCCTTGCTCTGCACCAGGCCAACCTGTCGGGCGTTTTATGACTCTCCTTGACTTCGGTCCCGCAGATTTTAAACGATTTCTTACTGTTCTGGTTGACAGATTACGACCAGGTAACCACTGCCTTTTAAGACGGGTGCTTGTTGCAAATGGATTTCGTCTGACCAATCTACCAAGGCTCCTATCTTCACGTTGGGTTGTTACAGATGGTTGACCAGATCGAGGACGGTCCTTAACTTCTGGGTGGCAACATGTTTTCTGACCAAACGGCTGATCACTGTGTAATGATAGCCAAGCTGTCTACCTATCGCCTTGTAGGACATACCAGCGGAATTCATGCCAATAATGATGCCTCTGATATCCGTCATCTTGCCATTCTTACTTAAAATGATTTTGCATTCAGAAATTCGGGACTTAAATACGGATTTGATGCCCGAGAAAATAGTGCATATTGGACGTGAAGAAGGGAGCAAGTTGCACGTGGGGAAAAAACGCGCCTGATTTAAATGTCACACCTGAACGCTCACATCTTTTTTAATTATGTTTGAAATTATGAACATTGCTCAACATCATGAAAATTAAACCTTATTTTCAATAAGCAATCCTGAAAAATATTTGGGGGTGCTTAACTTTTTTCCAGGTGTATATAAACCCACAGCGTGCAACACGCTTGAAACACTGTTGATAAATACTATGGTTCGAAGTTGCTTGAAAATACATGAAATAATCTAATAAACCGAATAGAAAATTTATAATATAGATTATCTGAGCCTGTCATATATTTATTACCCTATTAAAAAATAGACATTATTATGCAATTAAAAGCAGGAAGAACGCTTAAAATACACAATAAAAATTATGATGGAAGCTTATGACTGCCGAACCATGTAGTTTTTACATGTTCGCCGTTGGCACAGTTAAGTTTCTATTATGTATTTTAAACTTTGTTCGTGTTCTGAATTTTAAACAGGTAGGATTATTATAACAGGAATATTGGTATACTTAAAAAAACATTCAAAGCGAGGTCACATGTTCGTCCATTTGTGATGGAAAAATATTTATCAATATAATTGTGTAATAATTTATGTTTTTCATTTATTAGTACGTTCTACTTAACTAATGGCTTTGTTTTCCTTACATTTTTATTCAAAAGTCATAAGATATATTTTATACTTCTTCGTTGATCATACTTCAATATATTTATTGAAATTCTGATCTTTGACAAATATTTTCTATTTTCTAGGTAAACATTTTTTTGTTTAGATTTATTGTTTCACTTGTTGATCTTATTGCAAATTATTTTGTTGTTAACAATCTCTTAACCTTTACTCAAATTCATATTATATTACTATACGTTGTTTTTCCAAACGTTATCAAATCCTCATACATGTGGCACCTGTGAAATTTCACTCGGATATTTCGCATTACTTCAATTTAAAACAACCACCTCTATTAAATCGATTTGTTTTCGCTACAGTTCAATAAATGTAAACAGTATTTCGTTGTTCTCATTAGTCTTATAGTTTCTTGTCTTAGTCTACCACGTTGTTTTCTTACTGAAAATTATATACATATATAATATTATATACATGAGAATTAGTCTCCACATTGTGTTTAAAAACCAATTTCTTTAGAATTATATATATTCCTAGATATTTTAATGAACTTGATTATTTAAGTTTGGTACCAACATAGAACATTTTCTTTTTCAGAATCACCTCTTTTTTGAATATATTATTTCTCGATCTATCTTGATTAATAAACAAATTATTTTAATCACAAATAGTCAACTTACGTTTAAACACATTAAACAATTAACATTTAATAAAGTTTTCTTTTAAAATCCATATACTCTGTTTAAAGGTTTGCTTTGAATTTCGCGCAAAGCTACACCAGGGCTATCTGAGCTAGTCATTCCCAATTTAGCAGTAAAATACTAGAGGGAAGGCAGCTAGTCATCACCACCCACCACCAACTCTTGAGCTACTCTTTTACTAACGAATAGTGAGATTGACCATCAAATTATAACGCCCTCACGGCTCAAATGGCGAGCATATTTGGTGGGACGGGGATTCGAACACGCGACCCTCAGATTTGGAGTCAAGCAGGGCCCATCTACTCTATCGAAAGCAATGAAAATGTGTGAAAGTATATAACCTCATCTTACCTACTTATCAGATGAGAAAATAATTAAATGTCCGTGATCTCAAACTCTTGATCTGGAGTATAGAGATTTTTACCTTTTAATACATCTCATCTTTTCCATTATTATTTTCTTATTTATAAAATCAAATGATTTTCCAGTATATATATATATATATATATATATATAGACGCGTAAAATCTTCCTTTTTTGTCTATTTTCTAGTAACCAATAAGTTCGGACAAATTTTCTTTAATCGAAATCCTACTTTACAATTTCCAATACACTATGTATTTTTAAATTCAAGAATTTGTTGAAACATTTTTTTGAAATACATGATAACTAAGTAACATGTTCCTCTGAATTTATTTCTTTGTTTAAAAAATTGGCAAAAAATAACAATTTCCAATAAACTGGATATATCCTTTTTTTCTAAAAAGTATAGTAAACTACCTGAATTATGATTAGCCAGCCACTAGAAACTCCAACACCAGAATATTTCATCATTCTTTAGTTTCTTAATACATAGTAGCTTTACGTCATTCATTTAAAGAAATCCGATGTACTGTTCATTTTATCTTATATTAACAAATCAATAGTACATGAACCAATCTTCATTTACTTGTATCATCCTGTTTTTTAAATTTGTGATATAGTGTGCACAGGGACATCATCCGTGGGAACATACCCACTATTGCGAACATTAACATCTAACAGAAATCTATACCCTTCTAAATTCTTCGAAACATTAACATTCACCACGTACATGTTCTTGAATACTTTAACCGTCTTTATTAACTGCAAAATTAGAATTTTCTGACGAGTGACAGATTATTCCTCACGATACTTTTTTTACATTTTTTCAAGTAATGAAAATTAAATATAATTAACAAATCATTTGTACGCATATAACGCAACGTGATTTACTGTAACATCACATTGTATTAATTTGTATTTAAATTTCACTTTTCTAAAAAGGTATAACCCTACAGAATACAACTTCGTATTTTTTATCTTTTCAATAACAGTCTGGCCTATTCAGGCGTTAATGTTTCTTTAAAGCATTATGCACAATATTCAAACTTCTCAACCTTTCAATTTCTTTCTAAATTCTTATAGATATTTCAAACTGTGCAGTTAAAAGTATGTTTTACCCATCCGCACTTATTTTTCTGTATATATTTGTCAACATTTTCTTGTACATTTTAAAACATACATTTTTATCACATGATTTTGTTTTGTCTCAACCTACTATTCTACCGACGGCAAAAACGCGAACACTCCGTTTACTGTGTTAATGTCATATTATATGTTGTAGTTTGAGCGCAAAGTTAGACTATTAGCGCTCTGTCCACTGTGGGGAATGGAACCCCATATTTCAGCGTTAGAAGTTAGCAAACTTGCCCAAAGGATGCATCATATTAAATACAAACCTAATTTTCAATGACCAGTTTGTATACCTTAATATAGTCTTTTCTTCAACTGTAGTTTATGCAAGATAAGTTATCATTTTGCGAAACAGTGCCTAACTTAACAATATAATCTTTCATAATAAAAGAGGCAAATCTTATCTGATATTAATTTTTATTCTAGTTTATTCTCTGTCCTTGAAATATAGAAGTGTTACAGTCGTTAAACATTATCTGGATTTTGCTAATCCTGAAAGTAATAGATTGTTAAAAATCAATACCACTCAACGAAAAACAGCAGTCTGAAAACAGCTGTCATACAGAATATATATATATATGTGTGTTATGTTTACTTTTAAAGTTTACAGTTGACAGAACAAGTGTAACGTAATTTTTGTTAATACTTACAGCAGTGAAAGAGTTTAGACAAATTTCCTGTAATGGTGACCCTGCTTGACAACTATCTAATCTCTCTCTCTCTCTCTCTCTATATATATATATATATATAGACTGTCTCTCTCTTTCTGTGAATCTGTTCCTTATGCACGGCCACATCTTTAAAGCTACAAACTCCAAACTTGGAGTACAAATACAACTTTGTGCTGGAAGTAACATGGGTTATGGGGCCGCAAATTGAGGTCAAAGTGACCAATATAGCAATTTTTGACAAACAGGACGACCAATTGGTCTCAAATTAAAAAGGCCAGATTCTTTTGGTAACGTGTGATCAAGAGAGCTATTATTTACGTTTCTTCTCTGTGTGATGACTTCTCCTAATCATTTATCCATGATCAATTATGTGTTAAAATGATTAAAAACTTCGTAGAGCCTTCATTTGTGCTCTTCCCCACCCTCGCTATTCTATACTTAGTGCCTGTTCTCTCTAACCCACCTTAATTGAAAAAGGCTGGTGCTTTGTATCGAACATGCGCGTACACTCCCTCAACTAAATAGGCTTACTTCAGCCATATTTTTTGCTTTGCTTGCGTGTACTCGCAAGAAGCAGTTATACAATGACTTTACAAAAACGTTTGGTATTGGCAAATTTTCATTTACGTTACATTGCAACGAGAAGAGAATAAATCAATTCTTCATTAAATTGAACGATAATAAAGTCAGAATACGTTGTAAACGACACTTGACCACACAGCAGAATTCAAGACACCAAAAGGTAGGGAGTTTTATTTTGGAAACTTGAAATTTCATGCAAAGCACATGCAAGAAGCAGGTGCAATGTACCCGGTTTTGCTTTGATTAAAATAGCTTTAGCGAATTTTTTTCGCACATCGTTATTTTTATTTATTTTAATCAAAATATTTAGTTAGGTAAAGAAATCATTTTGATTTTTTGGAAAAAATCATAACTGATATGGTTGATTTAATCAAAACAACTCAGGATATTTAAAGCCATATTCATCCGAGCAACGCCAGGTACTCTGCTAATGTATTATAAAGCTAATGCCACTCAACAAAAAACAACTGAACTCCAATGATTTTAGAACTCACTACGTATCCTAAAGAAGTAGCAGATATATCTTACGTAGAACAGAAATTATACATTTATATATATACACAACTATATATCTATGTATGTGTGTTTAGCTTTTGTGCGATCGGGTTATCAATTGTATTTTCTTCTTCGTAAGTTTCATTTCTTCTATCATCTTAATATGAACATTTCAAGCCTGACCTTCGACATGACCCTTCCTAGCTGTCCACTACATTTTAAAATTATTTCGTATCTATAAAGATTTGTTTCCATGTCAACAGCATCATCTAACGTGTCATTTATCATCTGTTATTCAGACATAGTACTCAATGTTTTCAAATATTCGTCATATCTCTAAACAGTTAAATTTATAACTTCTTCATTCTCTATAAATATTTATATATAATAACTGTTAGTTGCCAAAACCTATTCTAACGTGTTGCTATGAAGAAAGAGTGTAGATTCTGAAGTGATTTGGAAAGTTATGTTTATGCAGAGTATTTTAACTCAATAAACTTTCCTTATATGAAAATTCGAAAAGAAAGTAGACCTAATTTAGTGTTGGTGATTTATTCAGTATAACATCTGTTGTTCTTTGCAATTCCAAATACATATCAAGTTTACATACCTTCTCTCAAACCTCAATTTTGTTCAACCTTCGTGTGATTTTTTTTATTATATCCATCACGATCTTCAATTGCTCAGGTTTTTAAATAAATTAATTGTTGTTCTAGCGTAATTACAAAAATAAATGGCTCTGTAAATCCATGGCGAGCAATCACTTCATTATATCAGAATTTGTATATATGGAGAAACGAAAACTATTTGCCTAACAAGAAGTACGCCTACAGTGAACTTATGGTTTTCAACAAGTTTCCTCTACATACTGATTATCACAGTCATATTAAATGCAGGTATTCAAACGTATTAACTAATCAAGCTGTAGTAGCGAACAACAGAGTAGATAAATACCTTATAACTCAAAACACATCGTCTAATCGCGATGTAACAAGCAAATCATATATTCTAGATATCTTCTTAACATTTAATAAATTACAGTAATTGCCTTCAAAGTTATGGACTTTTAAAGATATTTTGTTATTTTATGTATTATCTAATCGATGATATTCTGCAGTTCTGACAGGTAGAAAAGCCGGTAGTCATTTAGAGGCAAATACTTTCTGTCATCTTCCAAGTGACTCGGGCCCATGTAGAGCTGCTTTCAGAAACTATTACTACAACTCGGAAAATAAGCGATGTGAAGTATTTATCTACGGAGGCTGTGAAGGGAACGAAAACAATTTCAAAACCAAAGAAGAATGTGAAGAAACATGTGGAAGTGAAACTCATGCTCGTGTCATTCCAGCCAGTAATGGTAACGTTTTTTCTATTGTTTAGTAAAAACGGCAAACAAGAGAAAAAATTAAACTGTATGGTGGAAATAGTGCTAGTGACAAAGAGTTTAATATAGCATTATCATTCAATAAGCCAACTGCGTTACAACAACCAAAATCTTATAGTTGAAACATTTTTAATATCGGTCGTTCACGAAACAATAAGTTGTGTAACACGCAAAGTCTTATCATAAGTGACTTTATTTGTAGTACTACAAAAAGGAAAATAGAAGTACAACACAAAAAATGGGATAAAAGGTGGTAAAAGATATACATTTCTGACTACGATGACAAGTGCCGGTACGCAATTCTTTGGAATTTAAAATGCCGGAACTGCGTACTGGCCAATTTCAAGCATTGTTTAATGCAGTTTATCTTGTTTTAATCACACGTCTCAACACTTGAAAAATGGAAGTCCCATTAATAATTTATGTAAAAGTAACAAGTAAAATAGGTGTGTTTTCCCTATAGCAAAGCCACATCGGGCTATCTGATGTATTTACCAAGAGGAATCGAACCCCTGAACTTAGCGTTGTAAATCCGTAAAATGGAATCGTTGATTCCACAACATTTCAAGTGGACGCTCTTCGTCTAGCGTTTCGTATTAGCAAAAATTAAATCTAGCTAATAAACACGCTTATAACTTTGTTGATAAATACTTTGATTAGAAGTTGCTCGAAAATGAGAAATAAGCCTAGAAATTGAATGAAAGAAAATTGTGAAATAGTAAAAATAAGCTTGTCATATTTTTATTACCTTATCTAAGAACAGACAGGATTATAAAATGATAAGCAGGAACAACACTTAAGATGCACACAAAATGATGATGAGAATAGAAAGTTAGTAATATAGTCCTTTAATGTTAGACATAGGCCAAGTAAAGTTTTATTATGCATTGTAAACGTTGTTCCTGCTTTAATTAATTTTCAATAGACAGGATTATGATATTCGGAATTTTAGTATATTCAAACGCATTCAAAGTGAGGTCTCCTTCTCGTCTTATTATTCATTCATTAATACGTTATATTCAAGATTACTTACTTTAGTAATAATTAATGATATCTACATCTTCCTTATATTTTGATTCAGGACATTTAAAGATTGTTTTGAATTTCGCGCATACTATTCGCTGAAGAATGACCTTTGAAGTCACAAAACCGGTAGATGAAATTATTTAAAAAAAAGGAAAAAAGTCTGATATTCAAGTGTTTTCTTATATGTGAAATTAGGTAAATTTCACTCAAATTTTTGTATTACTTAAATTCAAAGCATCCATTTCTTTTACATAAATGGTTAAACGATTTGTCTTCGCTACAATCCAAAACGTTTATCCAATATTTCATTGTTTTCATCAGTCATATCGTTCGATATATTAGTGTATCACATTATATTCTTATTGTACTTTTACATATTCGTAAGAATTAACTTTCACGTTGTATTTAAAAACTAATTCCTTTATTATTTATATTGTAATCCAGAATATTTTAATGAACTTGATTATTTAAGTTTGACATAATGCATTACACAATCCACATCTACTTTTTCAGGTTCACACCCCTTTTCTTGGATACGTTAATTCTCGAGCTATTAACATTAATAAACAAATTATTTTAATCACAAATTAAAGTTACGTTGTCATGGGAAAACACATTACATCATCAGCATTTAATACGTTTTCTTTCAAAATCTATGTGACCTGTCGAAAGTAGTGAGAAAGGGCGAAAATATACCTCATCTTGCTCATATCTCAGATGGGAATATAATATATAAATATCGATTTCAAACTGGTGATCTAGAGTTTTAAAATGTTAACATAATTTTCCTCATTATTTTCGTAGTTGTAAAATCAATTTTTGTTTCTAAAATTAAGAAAACAAGCACCAAAATCTACCTTTTTTTTGTTAACCTTCTAGTGGCCACTAAGTCTAGAGAAATTTCCTGGTGTCGAAAACCTACTTCACAATTATCTGATACACTAGTTCATTACATCAATTGTAATTCTTTACTTCAAGATTTTATTTTAAAAAGTAAGAGAATTAAGTAACATTTCTACATTCCTCCGAATTTATTTTTGTTTAAAAATTGGCACCATAATACCCAATTTCAATAAATGGGGTATGCAAACTATCCAAATTAACATTTTTCGTCAACCTTCTAGCAACTAATAAAATTAAACAAATTTCCTGGTGTCGAAAATCTACTTGATAACTATCCAACACTATATTATTACATAATTGCAAATTCTAACTTCAACAATTTGTTCAAGCATTTTTTGAAAACGTTAACAACATAGTGGCGACTCTTATTTTCTGAATTTATTTATTTATTACAAAATGTACAAGACCACCTCAAAAAGAAACTCGATATGTATTTTTTATAAAGAATATTGTAATACATCCGAATTAAGATTAGTCATGATTTTAGACATCACTAAAACCTCCATCTACATCAAAAAGTTTTATCATTCTTTTGTTTCTTAATACGGTGTAGCTTTACGTAATTCAACCAATAAAATTAATCCAATATACTACACATTTTATTTCATAATAAAAAAATATTATTACACAAACTAATGTTGAGCTATTTTTATCATCATCTAAAATAGTTATACAAGTTAGGGCAAAAGCGACTATACGATTGTTTCATTTAGAAAATAGTTTAATTTCTAATGTCTTACTCTATAATAACCAGTAATTAAACTGGTTGCAAATGCCTTCGTAATATTTTCTTTCCTACTAACAGTGTAATACCAATTGTAACAGCTGTTGTCTCACCCTGTACAATTCTGCATCATAGAAATGTCTTATTCATACCGTGATCCTGATCTTTCAAACTACTTTCGAAGGGTTTAAACATTCTCTAAATGTATTTTCTAAACTCAACTATATTGTTAATCAACTTTTTTTTTTAGTTTTATTCAACAGCAATTTTAATAACTTATTCTCTTTGTAATAACATGTGTTTTGTGTATGTTTTTGTTTTAATAGCATCAGCTTTTACTGTGATATCAGCAGATTATATTATTTAAACAAACTTAATATTCTCTCTCTCCACGCTTTAACTAAATCAGATATTTCTTCTAGTTAAAGATTATTAAGATACTAGCTGGAGTACCCGTACCCTGGACGGAAGTTATGTAAATTCATGATTAATGAAAGGTTATCTTGGGACATGAAAAATTGTTTCATTTATACATAATTGTAAAAAAGCAAAAACGACCATAAAAATTAAAAAACACAAAATACAAGACTGAAAATTTTTATGTATCTCCCCCATAAATAAATAAAAAACCTTCATGTCAAATTTGGTGAAGATCCATCAACAGAAGGCGAAGTAGTGGTAAAAAAACGCGAAAACGCCCATAAAGACCGCAAAACGCAAAATTTTTATGTACCCCCGATGGACCTAATCTAATGAAAATCCCATACCAATTTTGGCGAAGATTCATTCACATAGTTATATGGACAGAGAACAGACAGTTCTATTGTATTTATACAGATTCATGTCTTTGCTTATTGTTCCGCACAGATAGTGTTCTTCCTATAATTTTTCAATATTCACTTTGACATCTAATATTAAGTTTGTTAGTTACAAAACTTATTGGAAATAACTTGTAAAGGAAAAATAATCAGACTCACGTCTATTTCGTATCGGGAAATAATTTATCTTTCCATCAAATTGACCACATTGATTAGTAAACAATATCTTGCCTATTAATGTTATAATAGGTAAATTCCCTACCTCATTCTCTTTCATACGTTTATTTATAATAGCAGATTAAAATAATCTGTATGGACATGTATATTTTTTTCCAAACGCATTTATATATCTATTTCTCGTACCTTACAGCACAAATAGTCAATTGTTTAGCTTTGTGCTTAAATACGAACCAAAAACAAACTGTACCTTCATTAGCATCACCTGATGATTATGGTTCTCGACTCGCTATCTGTGGGTCATGGGATCGAATCCCATCACCGAATGTGGCGTTATAACGAGACTGTCAATCCCACTATTCGTTGGTAAATAGCAATTCAAGAGTTGGTAGTGGGTGGTGCTAGCTAGCAGCATTCCCTCTAGTCTATGGCTTCAAAATTAGGAAGAGCTAGCGCATATAACCCTCGAGTAGCTTTTCGCGAAATTTAACAAAAACAAATCCTATTTCTCTTTGGAAATTAATCATCCTCTTTTGTCATTTTTTAATTAGTATGTAATATCCCTATCACGAACAGGAACACCATCCTTTAGAACATATCCCCCCCACTGTGAGCATTATCACCTCCTAACTAAATAAATTTGAAGCCTCCACATTTCTTCGAAAATTTCAACATTCATCACGTGCAAGTTCTCGAAAACTGTCTTATTTAAATGCAAATTTAATATATTCAGACGATTGATAGATTATTTCTTGGAATATTGGGATACTCTTTCAGGTAGTAAAAATAACATAAAACAACATTATTTGACTTACTATCACGTCCTACTAGATTTGAATTTAACTTGCTTTTATTAAAAGATACAACCTTCTAGAATACCCCCACACAATTATTTAGACACAACCTCGTATTTCAACCTCATTCAATATCAGTCTGACCTTTCTTTTTTTTAGGTGTTAGGTTTCTATCAGGCTTATTAAATTAAAGATAATAAAAACTGCATAATTTCAGTTTTTCGTTTTATTTCTAAATCCTTATAAAAGTATGTTTAACCATACCATGCATCTGCGCTTCTGTTTATTTCTGCACGTATTCCTAACCAGTTTCTTGTTAACACGTTTTTATCGCACGTGTTTGTCTCGATATACTATTCTACCGAGTATCATAACATGTGCATCCTGTTTTCTATTCCTTTCAATATTAATTGTTGTTGTTTTGGCAAAGCTACATAATGGACTATCAGCACTCTGTCTACTGCGGGGAACCGAACCTCCAGATTGTAGCTTCTTACGTCCGTAACTTTATCGTTCAACCATCGAAGTAGACATGATGTCTTCATGGAGAAATGTTTTGCGTTTGGCCAATAAGGAGACACCTTTTTAGCCTGAGTTTGTCATTTGACTTTGCACGATGCCACCTTCGACACAAGGGGAATGCTTTGGAATCTTCCTACAGTTAATATTATTGATAGGTACACTGACAACGTTTCGTTACAAACTTTGAAGAAACGTGGGGGAAACATTCTCTGGAAACACGTTTCCTCGTGCATACTGGCTTTAATTTTCAATGATCAGTTTGTCGTACCTTATGTAGCCTTTTTTCCTTTCAAGTGTAGTTTATTCAAGATAAATTTAAAATTTTCCCTCGTTCTTCCCGAACCTTAACAATATAATCTACCATGATAAAAAAAAGGCAAACTTTTTATCTGATATGTTTTTCTAGCCCATTCTATCTCCTTGAAATATATGAACATTTCCTTAATTTGTGATGACTGATATTGCTACGTGAATTCTATTTTCTACTTCTTATGCTTCATTACTTGTCATCTAAGTATATAGATTTCGAGGCTGACCTTCGACTAGTCCCTTTAAAGCTGTCCATTGCAATTCTCAATGATTTAGTTTCTATAACACCCGTTTTCATGTCAATAACAATGTCTTCTAGCTTCCCATTTATCACTTGTTTTTCAGCTATATTGCTCATTATTTTCTCAACTTTTTCAAATATTTGCATTATTTATTGAAAAAGTATTTTAGTTTGAATGTGATAAGTCTTCTATCAAAAAGACCCATTTCATGAACATATTTCAAACGGTTTTGATGATACTACAGTAATTTTATAACTATATTCCCTTCTTATTTATATTTTGTATAAAATAAACGTTTTTTTTTGTTAAGATTCAGCTTTCGCATATTGTTAGACTGATAACAATTGAAAACTTTTAAGAGTGTCAAATGTAGGCTGTAATAGATGTTTGAATAATTTTTGAATGTCCAATATGTCAGATTGTTTGTTTATTTTGAATTTCGCTAGCCGTCCCTAATTTAGCAGTGTAAGACTAGAGAGAATGCAGCTAGTCATCACCTCCCACCGCCAACTCTTGGGCTACTCTTTTACCAATGAATAGTGGGATTGACCGTCACGTTATAACACCCCACGGCTGAAAGGGCGAGCATGTTTGGTGGGACGGGGATTCGAACCCACGACCCTCAGATTGCGAATCGAGTGCCCTAACCACCTGGCCATGCCGGGCCTCAATATGTCGTAAGCTTTGGCAATAGGATACTTCATTGATTGTTAAGGCAAAGATACTATTCACTAAAGAGCGAGAGAAAGAGACAAATTTCAAGAATATAAGATCTTTGTATCATTTTACTAGACTGTTTGAATTATTATTTTTTTTTTTGCAATATATAGATTTTTTAAAAAACTAGATATACTTGTGCTGGGTCCCCGAAAGTGTTCTGTTTCAAGAGTAAATAAAACCAAAATTAACAGTAACATATATTTTTATTTCTTGCTTTTGAAATTCATATGTTATGCTGTGTTGTAGCCTACACACTGCATAATTCTTCTCGTGATTCATGGCATGCTACGTATCACTGACGTCACGACAGTACAAATTGCAACGCTGAGCTTCCCATATGTGACGTCACTTTAGTGTCTAATGACTGACTAACAGACAATATACTACTGCATAGTAGTGCGAATGGTTAAAACAGGTGATCCCTCCAGGCGACCTCATGCCCCCTTTTCGGGGAAACAACGTACGAAAAGTCATTAAATAAAGACAATACACTTATGACTTATGGCTAATGCTAAATCATTTCACAACTTTAACACATAATAATTTCTTCAAGAAAATGATTAATTTTACATAAAAGTACTCTCACCTTCCCGAAAAATAAATGTAAACTTTAGTTACTTCATAGGTTGCAGAAAAACTAGCATCTTGACACACCGACTCCTAGATAAAACTGACTGACAGAACACAATACTTTCACTACTAAAGTTGACACCTAAACTAAAGAAAATGCCACTTTCCCCCTCCCTCGTTGCCCAATTGTAATGCTAATCTCTGACGTTCGATCCCTAAATAAAATTCAGCCACTTCCCCCCCCCTCCTTGTGGCTCAGTGGTAATGCTAAAAGCTTACAATACTAAACTTTGAGATTCGATCCCTAAATAAAATTCAGCGATGTGCTAAAACATATATTATATAATATTATGAAGCTTCAAAGGCTGCAATTAATAGACTGGCGTTAAAGTTAATACAACTCAACAAACAACAACCGTCTGTAAGCAGTTGAATTCTAACGAAAACGCCGTAATTTGTATTGTTATTACGAATCCTTCAGGAGTAAAAAATATCTTATTTATAACAGGAAAGATATATAACATTTTTACCTTTAAAAATGTTTTTCCTTTAAATGCCTAACATATCATGGTTTATACTAAAGTTGATTATATGTCACCGTGTCTATTTCGGATATTTGTGTAAGCCTACATAAATAACATGACATAATAACATGACTTTGGAAAATCGCCTCAAGCCACCGAGGAAGAAGTCATCGCTTTAACCTTGTTTTTATTTGATCATCTAAAAGTTACATTTCTGTGGATTAAAAATATGTTTATAACTTCACTTGCGGATTATATTTTATGAATGTATGATCGGATTGTCGAAGCTCTTCTTTAGTTGACAAAAAGTATTTTATGTATAAATATATATTCGTTCTCCATGTTTGAAGCTGTCAATTTTCGTGTTTAAAGAGCAGAGTTATCCGCCCCTACTTTTGAAGGGACAAACTAGAGGGAATGCAGCTAGTCAAAAACACCAACCGCAACTCTTGCGCTATTCTAATCGAATAGTTGGATATAACTGTTCCACGACCCCAAACTGCAGGGTGCAATATACGGCAAAGGAACTCGAACCTTGGATCACCCGTCCGGCATGCTAACCAGTAGGCCACATTCAGCCCTCCCGTCCAGGTGGTATTCACCTCTAAGTTCAGGAAAATAACTAAACATACTTCGTTGGAAACAATCAAAACATTACTAAAGTGATTATTTGCTCTTTACAGAACCAACTTTATCTCATATCGTGTTAAGATATAGTCACCAATCAATTGTGGAAATCTAAACGTCCTCTAGAGAATGTTTGTACAACTATATATATATATTGTATAAATACAAAAAAATATATCATCTATTGTTAAACACTTAAGTCTCCTTAGGAATGTAATAATGTACTCAAACTTTTTGAAAGCTAAAACAAGTAAAGACCAGAAACACCTATTGGAATGTCACAATGTACAGTTTAGACATGATTCTAATACCAGTGATCTTTGATTTTTAATATTTTCTCTGTCAGTCAAAAGTTGGTCTATTTTTTAGCTAAAAATGATTATCTTTGTCAAAACATTTTTGACTCGATGTGCATTTGAAATTTTATAATGATTTTGTTGAACCCCAGAAATTTGTAAAGAACCGAAAGAACCAGGGATATGTTATGGCTACACCATTCGTTACTATTACGACATCTCTCGGCAGAGATGCGAATCTTTTGTGTATGGAGGTTGCGGTGGAAACCAGAACAACTTCAACACACGAGAAGAGTGCGAGAAAACGTGCATGGAATCAGCTGATCATTCAGAAAGTTGATACCAGGTAATGTTGAATTTTTGTTATTGAAATCTTACTTCAATTATTTCCCCATACATCCTTTTAATGTGGCATATTAAGATATACAAAATTATTAAAAACAATTTTAAAAACTTGTGTTTTAAATATTAAGATATAAAAATTCTGTCATTATTATTTAAACGCAACTATCATCAGTGTTGAATCAAGAGAGCAAATAACAGATTAAATCTTGCATTAAACAACTAACCTTTCTTTTTGCTTATTTTTCAGATAACAATTTAATGTATCTAAAGCTTTGTTAGTATAACATCAAAATTCACAAAGTAATACACATTACACCATTTTATGTCAGTCTAATAATGGCTGGAGACGGCTTGATTGGGTAATGAAGAAAAACTTTAATATAAGTTTAACATAACAGCAAATGTACAACGTTTCGACAAGGTTTTGTCATCATCAGGTCTATTTCTACTGTTTGTTTACTCCCACCACCTTTTTTTTATGCTATGTACCTGCCTGGTGGTAAGGGCGCTTGACTTGTAATCTGCGGGTCGCGGGTTCGAATCCCTATCGCCGAACATTCTCGCCCTTTCGTCTATGGAGGCATCATAACGTGACAGTCAATCCCACTTTTCGTTGGTAACAGGGTAGCCCGAGGTTTGGTGGTATTGACCTTTAGAAACTGTCAAGTGTATCCATGGATATGTGGCGCCTTCCGTTGGATTGAATTGGTTTGAAAAGATATTTAAGTACGTGCATGATATATTTACCATTTATATTATACTTCTGTGTGTGTGTGTATGGATTTTTATCGGATTATCAAATGCGGATACCAACAGACCAGTCAAGTAAGCTGGAGAAATCTTGTAGCGATAGTCCGAGCCGTATTGGCGCTAGCCCCCCCCTGATGTGATCAGGCAGGTAGGTAGTACTCGAAAAAGTTGCTGTTTTAGAAGTTTTTGAACTGTTATGTTAGCGACCTTATTAGCGTATTATTAGTGTATATGGTCGGTTTTTCGTTTAGGAACTCGATAGGGTGGTTTTTTTGCCGAGTGAATTATTTGGAATCCTACTATTAAGTACTATCTACTTAAAATAACGTCAAATTTTACCTTCGAAAACTCAGAAAATTCTTGTCAGATCCAGAATGATTAACGATCCCACGAAATTTGGTACAAAACCGATCACATTTTACAGACTTATTAACTCAAGATCGTGAAAATGCCCTATCTTTCCACTATAAAAAAGAAAAGAAAATGATTCAAAGTGATCTAGAATCCGGATGCGGTTTTTGTTCCAGACCAAATTTGGAGAGGACTGCCCCACATTGACTTCCCATCCTGTGTAAAATTTTCGTGTGCATCGGTGAATTAGTTTTCGAGATACGCGCGTGGAAACAGACAGACACAAACACACAAGTAGGGACCCGATTAATATACCGTGGCGAGGATAATAAAGTACACTAACGGTCGTAAGCGGCCTCAAGAGTCAAAACACTAACAACAAAAAATCATTATCACTATAACCTTTCCTTTAAAAATCATGTTGCATATCACTATTACGCACGTAGGATTGCCATTTTCAATAATAGTTCAATGTACACTTATTACTTAAACAGTGTGTACTATATCTTTAAGACGTGCTGAATTTCGCGTGGAAGTTACTCATATATAATGGCTGGAGACGGCTTAAATGGGTAATGAAGAAAAACTTT